GGGGGGGGGGGGGAAATCAAAGGGAAATTTTTGATTCTTCTGCGGTCTTGATTACTTATTTATTTTAATAAATTATATCCCTGTTTTCTGATTTATTTCCTATCGATTAACTGATGGGTTAATTTTAAACCTTCTCGAAACTATTTCCTGTAATCCAAAATTCATTTATTTTTTAAATAGTTTTCGATTATAATTTGAGTGAAAGATAATTTCATACAGGTAATGTTGAGTGAGATCTAAGAAGGGCTTGCTCATAAGCGTTTTATAATTAATTTCATTTTCGAAATTCTGGGAAATCTTCAAACGCAGATTTAACTGGAAGGCATTTTAACACTCACCAAACACTAAGTTAGGCATGTCAACGAAATTTTTATAGGCCTTCAACAACTTGTAGACGAGTTCATGGTGCTCAAATGAATAATTAAGTTAAAATGGACACATAATGGTCTTTAAATAGAATTACAATGTGGGACGAGTTCTTGATCAGAGTTTTTGGCAAACAGATGCATATATTGCTCCAGACATCGCGAGATCATCATATCCTGTCGATCATTGTAGGAAAATTTCTCCATCAGTCTACTGATCGAATCTGATCAAATTCCCTTGAAATAACGAAAGATAACTTTGGTCGTTCAGTGTTATCATTTGTGTGCTTATTGAACCTTCTCCGACTACCTGAATCTATATTTCTTAGTAAACTCTTTATTCCGATATATATATATATATATATATATATATATATATATATATATATATATATATATATATATATATATATATATATATATATATTTAATAGTGATTTCCTTCTAATCTACACGCGCGCGTACTGGCATCACAGATCGTGTTTATTTGATATTTAGCCGAAAGTGAAATGAAATCTGCTCAAGACAACCCAGTCACTACTTGTAAGCCACACTATATTAACAATTACTAACTAGAGAAAATATACCCATAAAGTCGAGCTTTGAGACAAAGAAGCAAGGGAGACTATCACAAACCCATTTAAAACTTACCTAAAATTTTAATTGGAAAATCACAGCGCTCCTAAATTACTCAAATTGAGTTCTTTGACTTGATTAAAATGTTAAAATCCTGATATGACCTTTGGACTTTGGCGTTAATTCTCAAATCGCAAATCTGGAACTTAGAGCACTTGAAATTGGATTTATTGACTTTCTTTTCAAGGATATTCTCAATTATGCCGATTTATGCTTCATGTTCCATAGTCCACTCTTTTCCAGTAAAAATTCTCCAATTTATGTTCTAGGTGGCTCAAACTGACAAAGTCAAAAATTTTTAAATTTAACCTGAATCCTAATTTAGGGTTACCGAATGGAGCTTGAAAAAAATAATTAACAAACAAGTTAGTTTTGAAAATAGACCAAAGTTCGTGTAAATTTTTACCTCAGAAGAGACATAACCTGCCCAGTTTTTATTAGATTTTGAAGCAATTAAGTATGCTCTTAGACCTTTAATAAGACGTTGAAATTTATTTTATTTGAATTCAGGTAAATTTCAAGATAAGACCAGCTAAAAGCTCAAAATAAAGTTAGTTTCTTCGGGTGAGTCTTGCTGTTTGCATTCGAAGCTACGCTGTCCTATTTCTACGTATTTCCCCGTAATCAAAATTTTTAGGATAGATTTGTAGAATGAACTTTTGCTATTTAAGTATAAATATAAATGTTGCTATAGTTTCATTTTAGTTAAGATCATTTACTTCCATACGAGACTTGTGACACAGTTTCTTTAAAGGCTATTAACATTTATACTTATAATCTAATAAGTAGCATTCTAAATTTTGACTGAATAAAACATATTGATAAAAAGCTCCGTATTCTGGTAAACCTTTCGATTATAATAACACTTTAACGTCCATCATCCTATTTTTTCGACGTCTTTTATAATTGTAAATAATGTCATTCTGAACAAAATTTGTTCCATTCTGTATCGAAATAAGCTTATTACTTAATCTCATAAAATCACAAAATATCCCAAACCCACTGAAGAAAGCGTTAGCTTCTTTCAACTTGTGTAGATCAGAGGAGTTGAAATTTGTCATTTCAACAATTTACATTTTTAAATGAATAAAACAGTTTTACTGATCATCTACAATAAGCAGTAACTTTGTGGTTTATGAATTGACTGGTGTGTTTATTAATTTGCATGCCCTAACTATATCCAATGCCAAAAGTGCAACCTGGAGATTTCATAATAAGAAAATCGTATTCTGATTACCTTAAAATGGCTGTCTTAATAAAATTTTAATCATTTGATCACTACCCTGCCCAACGGGTATATCACTTCTATTAACTGCCTGTACCTATTTCATCTACCGTTAAGTAATAAATTAGCGATATGCTCTGTTTGCCGTTAATTTTAATCCCAATTCTCGTAAGTTCGAGTTCTCGAAAACAGATTAGCCCGATAGCCCAATGAGAGTTCAAGCTGATTAACCAGTAGGCGATTGGCCAATCGAGTCATTGATCGTTGTCTATTCGCCAACCACGTGTCCATGAATGGGATGCACACACGCACGCACGCGCCCACTGAGGGTGCGTGTCATTGGTCAAACTCTCGCACAATGAGCGTAAGCGAAATAAATCGTCGTCCTGCCATATTTCTACCTCGTGCCTGCGTATTGCTGTCCTTTCCTTCTAAACTGTCTATACGTACGCCCCGTGGGCAAGCTTCTCGCCGCGCTAATTGCACACCTTACTCACTCGCACTGACCAACCACCTGATCTCTAGATCCGTCCCATTTATTCTCAATTAGCCACACACAGCTTAACACGGAATTTAATTAGGCTCATTTACAACTTCTTAACAGGTAAATTCATTATCCAATAATTTGTAATTCATGCAGCTGTGTTGTGTATCGATAGATTTCACTCTCCATTTCGCAACATTTGCCAATTCAGGGCCTCATTTCAGTAATAAGCCCCAAATTCTCAAATGACAGAAGGCGTTAAAACTTGTAAAAAAGGAATTATTATTTTTAAAAGTTATTAGAAAAATGTCTGTTAATGAAAAGGTCTTAAAATAACTTTCGAAACGCTTTCTGTATTCCACAAAATTAAGGGCCCTCAAAAACTATTTAAAGTTTGTATACATGTAAATAAAACTATCTTCTGCATTTCGATTTCACTGCCAATCACTCATTCATTTCTATATATATATATGTTCATTTTCTTATAAACTTATCAAACAATGTGAGATTTTCAGTACATAATAATAGTAATAGATGAGCATATATAACTGTTGTCCTTAGTCTATTTCGGTTTATTTTTACTTATTTTAGGAAGTCATCCCAATACGTTCAGTGGCTCCTGTCAACCTCTCAAATACATTAGATTCCAAGTCAAACCACGTTGGACGTTTTGTGGTCCTCAAAGCAACCGTTTCCAATACGAATGAAGAGACGCCAACCGCGGCTGGACTAGATTTACCAGCCCTGGATGATACGAGATTGGATAACGATACCATGACAACTTCAGGTCCCCCTGAAAGTCACTACTGGACAGTGAGCGGTGGAAAAGAGGTACTTTTAACAGCTCCTGGTGCCCGGAGGGTCCATGACTCTCGACCAGCTTCGGGTGGTCCGAACCGACCAATGCACACCCGATTCCGTCAGTTCTTTGTGGAGAACTTGCGATCAAGTCGACAACGAACTCATTCTGAACAGCAGTCGAATAGCAAAGGTGGTCGAACCCCACAACCCCCGAGTGAATCACCGAATAAATTGAAACTACCAACTGTCAAATTTAGTGGCGTCGGATTACCACCCCATGCACATACGATTACGGCTGGCACTGGACCTGCTGTGGCACGAGCTCTCCTCCAATCAACTCAACGCGCCAAGGATGATGGGTCAATTGAAAGTTCAGGGAATTCGGGTCTATCCTCATCGCCACTGCATTACCCGTCAATTTCACTGAATTCAGTGAATGATAGTGACGGCGGTGGTTCCTATAAGGGTTCAAAGAAACGTCTCAAATCTACACATAAGATGATGAAAAAGTTGCTGAAGATTTCGTCGAATCAGAAGAAGCAGGGAGATGATTATGGAGATTTACCAGATCCTTCTAAACTACCCAGAGAAATGCCTCAAAGCTCACTGGAATTTACTCAAACTAGATTAAAGAATGCACCACGAAGGGTAAGTAGTATGTTTTGGTCTGTAGTTTTTTTTTCAACTCTTATGAACACAAAATAGGTTTTAAGTGTTTAAAATAAGTTTATTTGGCTAGATTAGGTCAGTTTTTTGAGAAGAAAAAACTGATAAATAGGATTAATAAATAGGTTTGAAATACTTCAGATTTAGGGATAAACTTTTTTTATAATTACCGGAAGTTGAGGACTTCCGTTTTTCCAATTTTGTAACTATTAAATCTCATCTTAATAGCGAAGAATGGACACCCCCTGCCTCCCCTATTTCGTATTCATTAAAGGCAATTTTCTTTTATTCATAAAGGCAGATGAAATGGATTTCGTTCTCTTCGATGAGTAGTTCCTAATTTTAAATGATTTGGCCTACATTTCTAAATTTGCCTCTGAGGAAATGTTTGCTTATAATGTGTGGGTAGTCGTTGAGTTTATCTATCATTTTCAATTTTGAAAGAATACGTTGAAGTCTCTATGTAGTAGATTACAATTCCTCTAAACAAGAACTAGAATTCTAAATGGTCAAACGACCCTGTCTGAAGCAAAAAAGACACTTATCAAGGTTAGATTTATAATATAAAGGCAGGAGTTCCTTCCAACACACTCACCTGTTAACTACTGGGTTATGGGTTTGACAAGAATCGGTTCGGAGAATGTGAATGGCTTGTCAAACCCGGTCGTGAAAGAGACAGCGGAGCCAACTTTCCTATTAGAACTGCTCAAGTGGGATCTCAACTTGCCTCCCTTAAACGATTTTTGAAATTGTCTCCTTACTCGGTATTATCGTATCATTTACTGGTCAGAATGTTATTTCAAGACGTTAACCCTTAATTCGAAAAACGAATTGCTCTGTGAGAAATTAACTTTATTTGTTTCTCATTAAAAATATTTTTTAAATGTAATTTTATGAATAACTTGAGCACAATCACATTTTGAAATTAATAATATTTTATCAACGTTTTAGTCCAATCCCTCTGCCAATTACGGACAAAAAGGTAAGATATCTTGAAAAAATCTTAGTGTTTTTAACTTATCCGTTTGTTTGCATTGAGTGTCTACGATTTCTCGAAGTTTTAACGCATCAAATGTACATTATTTATTTTACCAAAAAGAATATGTCAAAACTGGAAATATCACAAATTGGGTTTCAATTACTTCGTGAAAAATACGCCAAGACACGTTGCTTAGTAAAATTCTTCAAAATGTGATATCATTTCCCAAAAAAATATTTGTTTTTTTTAACTACAAGGAAACGAAAACATGAACGAAACATGAACCATTGTTTATTTGCATTAAAATCTAGAAACACGGGACCCCTGTTTTGCTTGTAAATACTTTCATCCATAATTTCTGCCTTCATTTAGATTGCTTGTTATACGCTGCATTTCAGCCAGACTAATTATTCGTTTCGCATACTTGAATTAAATTGTCAGAAAAGCGACTATCCCTTGAAGGCATTCTCAATTTACATTTATATATAAATACATTTTGCTAAACATTAAATAACTTTTCAAACTGAAATTTAATCATTTTCTATGTAAGTTTTGAATACATCCAGGGCTAGTAAAATTGCATAAGAAAATCAATATTAATTTCGTTAAATTTTCGTAATTTAACATGAAATTTGGGAGATTTGCTATGCTTGATTCTGGGAATGAAAAATCGAAACTCGTTTTATCGGATATTGATCGATCTTTAGCTAAACTTAATACCGTCCATAAAGTAAACTCATTTCATCAATAAATAATTTGAAAATATTTGTAATCTTTCCTTTTGTGGCGTAATAACTCGCTAATATGACTGTTTTCGCTGAGTTTTTTTAGGCCGTTTTGTTCCCGTATTCCAATGTAGACTTCAACTTCTAAATTGATTTTTATGAGTATACAATTTGGTAATTTTCTTTTTTTGGCAAGGATTATTGTGTTCATTTTGACTAGTGTTTCTTTAAAACAAACTGGTTAAAGCAGAGGGAGTTTGTCAAATTATATTAGGTATTATTTGAGTTTAAACAGAGGGGTAGAGCTCCCTCAATGCTTAGTGATTTCAGGGGAGATTCTAAGATTTGTTCGCGTCATGCAGGCAAACATACGTGTAGAATTAATTTTCGACGAGTCTCTTAGATCAACCTTAGGTTCGTAAAAAACTTATATAACCAGAAGAATTTGCATAAACCCTGATTCATGTTCTACGTGTCCTATTCGAACTCAAGGTTCATTTTAAGCTGATTGAAGCATAAAATGAATCATTGTACGCAATGTCCTTAAATCTATATATGATAGTCATAATTTGTCATGACAATGGGCATATTTTTAGAAGAAAGTGCAAAATTTAGATTGAAAGTGCAGAATTTGTAAGATGGGAATAATATTATGTGTTTTTTTCGAAATAACAGTGCGAGTTGAAGTGGAATGGAAATTTTTTGGACATGGCACTATTTTAGTTTAGGCTGAGATTTAGTTAAGGAAGGTGGTCAACGAAAGAGAAAAGATCAGGAAGCCAATTTTTCCACAATGAAGATGTCATTTTTTCTTATGCACTTTGTAGACCAGTTTCAATTTGTCTAAGTTAAGAATTCGGGAATTTCGTAAAAGAAGTTACATGACTAACAGATTGTATCTTATATATTTTTGCAGCAGCTTGGTTGTAAACTTAACTAATTTCAGGTTCATAAATCTAGACTATCATGACCCCGTTGGTGGTAACCTCTAGCTAGAGGCTTAGAAGGTGTTGCTAATTTGTTTCAATTTAATATGGACAATTTTTTGCCAATAGGACCTTCCGGTGATGTGATTCCACGAGTTCTACCCCAGGTTGAAGCTAAATCGGAAGAGCTTCTACTCAGCGCCTTCTCAAGATCTCTTTCTAACAGTAGTCATGGTAGCAGCCAGCACAGTCACAGTCATCACCACCGACATCATCATCACCATCATCGTGGTCATCATGGTCATCACAGTCGCGAAACAAACCCCACCACGTTAACCCGGGTCACAGAGAATAGACGCTACCTTATGTTTACCAAAGCGTCTCCTTTCAGGGTAAGTAAGGGATTTATTAAATTTTGGTTAATTTAATCATAAATGAAATAGGCGGCCAATGGCCAAACTTATTTTTTGCCTCACAAAAGCACAACAAAGGAGAAAAAAGTTAAATTTGAGAAAGGCAATTGCCAATTTACAATTCAATAATACAATTTATTTTACTGCTACTTGGTCAACACCTATTTTACCCTAGAATGCGCATTTCCAGTGCACTGTCTTATTTTGCAATTTGAATCTCTTTCCATCGGGTTAAACTATAAATATTTACTTCAAATCGTAAACATACGTATTAATAATGGATTGAATTATATTCTGCCGAATGATGACAACTGTCTGAGGAATTTGTTTTACTATGTGTGAGAAACTACCACCTTTCCATTAAAAGGACGTTTCGTGATAATGACAGCAATTTTACCTACTCTTTTTTATAGCAACTTTTGTCTAAAGAAAAATTATTTGAATCTAATTATTCAACTGAAGCATGATTAAAACAAGTTTCTTACAATATAGCCTTGCTTGCATTTTCGTTCCTGTTGATGGCCATGTGATTAATTTAACAAAATTGTGGGTGAAAAGTGGACCATTTAACCAAAATGTACTAATTTGTTGGGATGTGATAAAATTTGATGAAAATTTGGTCAGCTGTTATGGACCTTGATTTTCCAATCACGATGTTTATCAAGTGGTAAAAAGGTGATACGTGTCCATGAATGTGTGAACTTATGCCCTTGAGATCTTGAAGGTCATCTATGGGTGTTTACTGACAGAGGCTCTTGCCTTGCCACATACCTCTCTATCACTCCCCCCCCTCACCCCTCCAGACTTTAATTGCATTTTGATTGTCGCGTTAAGCAACTCCGCTAAGTGAATTCTAAGTTTAGCTTTTATTGTTTTTATTTCTGTCCTGCATGATTCTTCTAAGCTAAAGGCCTTCATCCTTTTGAGATGTAAATTAATGAGTTCCCATGTAACTCATATGTAATTCTTGGGCACAAATTTCACAATTTATCAAGTATATTAAATTTGAAAACAAATTTATTATAATTCACTTGAGGCATATGCTTGAATTTAGCCAAAAGAAGGTCAAACATAGATGTTAATTAAAACGACTTCCATATCAAGCAATAAAGTTTTCATTTAACACATTTTTGGTAAATTGTTTGCCTCTGCGTCACTTTGCTTCTTGCCTATTTTGTTCTAGTGCACTTTATTATTCGAATGATGGACAAATTTATTTGCACTCTTATACATGCACTCATGCTATTACAATATTGTGCATTTTGGAGTGCTTAAATTTACCCTAATATAAATGGGCAGTACTAGTGGAGCATTTCTGAATTATTAATGTGCTTAAAATTTATTCTTGGAGAGATAGTAAGCCGGTAGAATCACAGCATAGACATGAAAAGACTCCTCGTTTTTTTTCTTTCTAAGTTGAGAAAAAATGAGTTCACCTTTCAATATGAATGAGATGGTCACATTATGACTACCTAATTTAGTGAATACAAATTTGCTGCTTATTAATGAGAAACATTAGTCGTATAATTGGATTTGTCGCTTATCACATTGAGACCACATTAGTTGATCATCAACTAATTTGTTCTCAATATCCACTATTTATGCCAATGATTTTAATGAAATTTTTGGCCCTTTATATTTTAAACAACTTTGTTTTAATATTAATTTCGATGCACCCCATGTAGTTGGGCGATTTCCACCCACTGTTGGGGGGGGGGGACGTCAGTTCAGAAGGATTGCGTCCATTCGGTTTGACAAGTTTAACTTAAATATATTGGTATAGTTTTCCCGTATGTTGCTAATTTTTAATTCCCACAGTCAATGGGGAAGAAGGTGAACAGATACGTTGTGACTTATTATAAAACAACATGCATTGAACTTTGTTTTGAACTTTCTAATTTCCTTTTAAACCATAGGCATTGTCTACGAACTGATCAAGGGCGCTATTTGTAGAAGTGGATAAATAAACTTGACTGATAACTTTGAATATTTGGGCCTTAAGACTAATCAATATTTGCCACACCAGTTCAAAATTAGTATTAGAGCCTACTGGGTTTTCAAGGTCAATGATTTGCTAGTGCTAATTTATTCATAATTCCTCATTTAACTAGTCAATTCAAATCTGTCCGACAGCGTAAAACTCAAATAAGGCTTATTTTCGGATTGCAAAGTCACAACAAATATTCTATCAACACATTCGTAGCAGTTTTGCTTACCTTCATTATACCCTAACAATCGCCGTTATGAGCCTCTTGCATTTAATAATTATATCATATCCCTGTTATGCGACCAAATACTGAGTTCGTTCCAATTTGTATGTCTATATTATACGGCACAAAATTTAAATAAAGATTAACTCATATGAAACGAAATACTTTTGCGATGACCTCTCTGTTTTGTTGAATAAATTATGTAAATCGTCGTACAATTCCATTTCTTTGATTTACACATGAAGAAGGTAAACATTGTAAATAGAATGGATTCTAAATGTATTTTTTACTGATTTGTTAACAAAAGTTCTCCTTTTCTGAAAAAGAATAGCCTATTATCAAGAGGCCTCCTTGTTTTACCGACCGGTTTCTAACTGTATAGTATTAAGACTAAATCAATCCCTTTTCTTAGACAAGTAGTATGTGCCAATGAGGATATTTGAAGTAATTAACTTTTTGATAGACAGCTAGATAGACACACACACAGAGAGAGAGAGAGTACTCATCGTCAATAAATCGGGCCGTAGGTTGTCTGGCTTTAAATTCTATTTCTTATGATTTTAGGAAGTATTTATTTATTTATTTCAAATGGCAGGCTTTATGATATTTATCATTAGGCCTTAATCTTTGACTTCAGCTTCCCCCAAGACGGGGGGGGGGTACATTTATAGCAGATAATTAATAGCAGTTCATTAGCAGTCTTCTTGCTTCCCAGTATCTTTGGCTTTCCGTCCTTGTCTTTAGAGCTGGACACCGAATCAGGTGGATCTTCTCCATTTCCTCATGTAGGTTACATAGAGGGCATGTGGGTTGAGTGTATACTCCCAATCTGTGAAGGTGTTTTGCCAAGCAATCGTGTCCGGTACGTAGTCTAAACTCAGCAACGGCTTCGATTCTTGGCCAGTCGGGTATGTCGGAGAGTGCCACTGTCCACTGTTTCTCTTTTGTTCGAGCTTTAAGTTCATTGCACCTTGAGGTCTGGAATTCTCTCCTGATTAAGGTCTTCATTGTGTGAAAAGACATCGGCCGGTCCATGCATTGCAAAATCGTTGTCCCCTTCTTAGCAAGTGTGTCAGCAGTCTCATTGCCTTTAATACCACTGTGACCAGGAATCCATTGTAGGACCACTGTTTTGTTTAGGAAGTTAATTTACTTAAATGAGACTATCCAGTGCATAAATTTCGAAAAATGTAAGAAGACCACAATTACATGCGGGGTTGCTTTAACTCATTTTTCAAATTTATTATATCCATGACACTTTTATTTCGAGTTCTTCTTAGCCACAACAAGTACATTAATAATAATACGTGGCCTAGAAATTACAGAGGCAACTTCATTTGGTCATATAAATTCATTTGTAAATACACTTTCGCTTAAGATTTGTTACGTTGTATCTCTCAGTATATTTCCAGACCTGCACGCCGCATTTCTCGAGTGTTCTAATTTCGCTGATTTCTGTTTCGCTATTTAACTTTAGCAACATTGTGCAGATCAAAAATACAATTGGCCCAACTCTTTTCTTCATTGATGTTTCGGCACTTTTGCACAATTGCTTTCAATCAGAGTTGCCAACACTTCTTTTAATCNATAATAGATAAGCCCTTTATGAATATTATCACCATTTGGTACGGTAGGCCTTCCCTTTGATATTGTAATGCCAGGGACTTAAATTTATGGCGGTATTAGATCTATTAGTCTTCCTGGTTGCCGCTAGGCTTGAGCACTTCGGATTCAGGTCACTTTATTAAATTAGCAAATACTTTATCAATGCTTACGTACTATTTGGTTGTTGTATAACTTACCAAAAATAACAGTTGTGCTCACTAGTGATATGCGCCCGTGTACTGGTAGGAATGATGGGCGATAAACAGTGTGGAATCAAATTGCTCGAGGCAAAATAGCTTTAATCCTCTTTTGTTGGAGTCCTGTCATGCAGCCATTTAATTCGATTTAATTTCAAAACATTTACATAAAATGGCAGGCGTTTTGATAGTTATCATTAGCCCTTTAGCTGATTTCAGGCTTTACAAAGGAGAAGAAATATCAAAGTGAAAAATATTCGAGAGGGGGGAGGGGAACAGAAGAGTGTTTCAAAGATGTAAAAAGAGACAGGCACAAAGGTAGAAAAAAGCTGAGGCGAGTACTGTGGAAGATGTCGAATATGATATACAGTGGGGATGATGGTTGTTTGAAGTGAGAAGTCAACTGCCGGTTAATAGACTTTTTTGCCGTATGAGTATACGTTGCCCATGGTGCACCACGTGGAGGTAAGTCTATCGCACACCCCAATTTCGAAACATAACTAATTGCATTCTCCTTAAGCATTATGCAATTAGAATTTGAGATTACGTGTATACAAAGCTCATAATTTTGGCAAAGCATCAGTCCATTGATACCCTTACCTGCTAATCCCATTTCAAATGTCTCAGATCTTTTAAGTTAATAGGACTAACACACGATTAGCGTTTTCATCCGCGGACAGCAATCTCAAATGTCCATTAATGTGGAAGCTCCAGGTCCAGAAGCCAAGAATTCTGTTCGTTTTAAGTGTTCCAGACCCAGTGGCCAGTCACTCTTTCATGACCCAAATGAAAGACTTTAAATAGACCCTTTCGGAACACGTGATTGAACTGGCCACGCTAGTGCATATGCCAATTATTTTCCACACTAAAATTTAAACAAACAATTTAAAATTCGTCAACTTTAATTAAATTACCCTTTTGTTTCACAAAGGAGGTTTCTTAGGCATTATCACTTAATCCTCTGTTAAAAACCGTGCAAGTGAAAGTCAATCCGCATCTTGTACACATAGAGAGTCAATCAAAACCTAGAGGCATTGAAATCCTAACCAGCTTATTCTATGCTTCACTCAGTTTTGAACGCGCCTCTTGGGTAAATCGGGAGAATGTAAAATGGAAGGGTCCTCGATTTAAATTAACAAATTGAGGCGTTGGCATCGTTGAGGAAGTACTTATTCCCTCAACACGGAGGTACACAAGCAAACGTCGCAGATAATAGGACTCATATTGGTTCTTTGAAAGCAGCAAGAAGAGCACTGGTGATATGCACAAATTAAGGAACCACATTCCATTTATCCGATGATAGTTTGAATCAGGATGGCTTTAATATCCACAATTAACTCATTTCCTCTTTACTTTCATTCATCTATTGTATTTTAGATTGTAGTGCGTTGTTCTTTTAAAATAGGCCTCTTTTTTGAAAGACAGAAACGAGCACTTGTTGAAATATTTCTTGTTGTTTTCTTTTCAGTCTCCATACGACTTCATGCAGACTCGAGGCAAAGGGCTACGTGAGTGCACCTATGTCCACATTAAAAATGCTACTGATCATGTTCCACCAATGACTCCGTGCTCACATCTCCATAACGACACCCCATACCATTATTTCACACTGTAATTTCACTTTGTTTCTAGATGAATCTGAGGTCTACACGGTGCTGTTTAGACACACCACTTGCTACGAGTTGATGCCTGAGAGTGCAAAATTGGTCACATTGGATAGTATGCTTCCAGTAAGTTCGTTCGAATGCACTTCAAACTGTCTTTTTGTCTATTTATTGACCCAATGCTAGCTTTAAATGAGGTGGCAAAATGGAAACGGCTGCATTTAAGTGCTGTCAAAACAAAATGCACAAACAAAACGTCGATTAGCTCTTTCTCTTATGAACTTCGTGATGGACAATATATAAGAAATCAACGTGGGTACCTAGATTGATTTGGAGTTGTGAAGCAGTTAATATCAAAGAGAATAGAATATTGTTTGTTCCATAAATTTAGATCTGGTCATAATTTGGAAGCTAACTGGTGGTTTTTATTCTCAAAGCAACAAATTTATGTAATTTAAAGCGATATCGATCTCAATTTTATAGTTGTACACTTGTTTGTCGATATGAACAACTATTTATTAAAGCTAACTGTTTTCTTTGTGTGAGCTGATATAATATCCTCTGTTCTAATTCTCCTGAGAGCAGTATTTAAAAGTTAGGTTAGTTTCCTTACCTCATAAGTTTCATTGACGACAAATGAACTTCGTAAGTGCGTAAAGTGTTTTCGACTCACTTTACACAGTCTTTTTTGTTTAAGTGGGAACCAGAAGATTTAACTAATAAATTCCATTGTTTAAGACAAATTATTAAGTGATACCTTCCAGTGTTCTGTAAAATTATATGGAGATCTTTATGAGGCATAGTGTTTCATGGCAAAACACAGACTTAAAGTCTAAACGAAAAGAAAATTCAGGCAAAATTGACAATTTTCGGAATAGATCTATTATTGAATCGTTAAAAAAATCAGCTGAAATTGGGGCTACTTCATTTAAATTCGAAACTCTAGAGGTTTTTCACCAATTAATCACTCTTTAGTTAATTTTCTATCGATTTTCGCACACTTATTGAACTTTTCATCCTTTTTTTGATCTCGTCTAAAATTAGGTCGGAAAGGCTTTCCGAGCTCTCTGTGAGAACGGAATTCGAGCGGCTCCGGTGTGGAACTCAGAAACACAAACTTTCTCCGGTGTACTCACAATCAATGACTTCTTGGAAATGCTCACCTACTGCTGGAGAAAACTCATTGGAAATAATTCCTCCACCTCGTCTGGAAACTCAAACACTTCAGCACTAGAAGCGAGTGAGAAAATTTCTATTGAGGAATTAGAAACAATGTCTATCAAGAAATGGAAGGGTAAGTATGAGCTATTTGTTTAATAATTATTTCCCTCTTCTCCTCCCGAAATTTGGAAAATATATTGCTATGATTAATCTAGGTTTGCGGCTTGTTACTGTGGAAGCCCTTCAAAAAGAAATCTATTAGTCCTTAGCTTAGCTTAAGAACTACTCACCGATGCAATCCAAATTCTTCTTCATACTATCGCTTAGCAACTTTTTTAGTTATTTTGTTCATCTCGGGTAAAATTTGAAATTGGGATCACTGACTTCATCTCAATATTTGTCATTATTACCAAGCTTGGCCAGCATTTCCATGTACTTGAACATAATTAAGTTAGCAATTACTGTCTTGCATCTTTTACTGCATGCCATTAATGCTAGGTGATCTGTTGATACCTGGTCAAGAACAATCGATTTTTAACAGTGTATTTATTTTATTCGTTTCCGAAATCACGAAATCTTGCTATTTTTAGCTGCAGGAATTCTCCTTATTTGTAAAATATTTCACTCAATCTTGGGTATTTAAAATTTAAATCAATTATCAAATACAGCAGGAATCTTGAGGACATTTTAATTTGATTACTATGCTTCAATCTTCTTCCCTATATGCAAAATGTAAAATATTTCTGGATTAAAGTGAACAGACAAACTTAGAAAGTAGCTTTGAAAAAATTCATATAAGATCAGGAGACAAGAATTGGTCTAAACAAAATTTGATAGTGACACTTTTAAGTACTAAGGTAGTAATAAGAGAACTATTTACTGTGGTATTCTTAGACCACTTGTTGTAAGTTAAAATCTACGAGCTTATTAGAACACTTAGCTTTTAAATTTAATCCCATTCATGAGTGATTTTTAATGGTATTTGTCGTCGTTCTTAACTGTTGTTCCAGTTGAATTTGTTCTGAATACTCCATAAATAATCATTCTGCCAAGCCTTGACAATTCACAAATTTGTTGTAGACAAATGAAGCAGTAGAGTCCTCTGGCATAAATTTTTATTCGCACACAATTAACTTGAGCCCTATCCAAATTAGTGAGAACAATGGAGAACATAGAGTGAGACGCTTTGTTGCATCACTTGCCAATTGCTAAAACATGGTGAATAATTATGCACATTAACTTTGAAAATGGAATTTACTTGTTTACCTCATAAGGTTTCTGTACGTTTGGAGGCAGTAGGCCGTGATGCGATCGATAAAATGACCTCACTTACCAGACTATTTGATCGCACGTGAGGTCCCTTCGGTCAGCCTTGATGGCATTGTGAGTTTCACAAACTCACCTCAATTAATTGGTCGCAAACTTAATTTTTGCCACGTTATAACTACCACCACCACCTCCTCCCTCCCCCCCCCCCCCCCCCCCCCCCCCCCCCCTCCTCTTCTCTGCTAATGTAAATATTATTTCATCTCGTAAGTCAATATCCTACCTTTTTTAACGTTTCGTAGCTGAGACAAGTAACTGCCGAGCATGTTTACCCTCTATCCACACTGATATCGTGTAATCTCGAAACTTTTCTCTTAGTAAATCTTGCAACAAATTGGATTAAGAGCATTAGAGATTGGCAGTGGGCGAGAAATCTGAATACCAGAAAACTAATAAAGAGGCTTTGAAAAAGGCTAAGCTGCTGCTTTAATTTTTGATGCTAAAATGTCACGAAGTAGGTGTGTTTACTGAATTATGATTGAAAAAAAGTGAATCGTGGTATACAATAATTCTATTTTTATTACCTTTTCTCGTGTTTTCTTACCGAATTTGTACTTACTAAGTTCAGGTGGTTCTTTTAGTATAAACAATAATGCTTAAATTAAGGGGGCGCATAAAACTGTTTATTGTTTTTATCCAATCATATGTTGGTAGTTTTGCGCAGTCAATGACAGCACATTTATTTCCATCGAAAATACTATTAAATTCTAAAATTAAGTTTGAAAATACTTGCTTTAACCCTTAAGCTTTTGAAGCGTAACAAAGAATAGCAAAATGCTGTGCTTCATTCAGCCCAAAATGTACTGTTTGAAAGCTATTTATAACCTAATGATAAAATAGTAATAAATGGAGAAGACCAAAAGACAAGGACAGAAACCCAGAGACACTGGGAAACCAGAAGTCAACTAATGAACTACTGTTAGCTATTCTAAAGCATATATATATATATATATATATATATATATATATATATATGCGTGTGTGTGTTTGTGTGTGTTTCCCCCTCTCTTTTGAATTCGGAGTCAACTAAGGGACTAATGATAAAAATCATTTGAAATAATATTGAAATGCTGATTTTCTGCCACCTTTTTTGCGTTTTGCTACTTTATATCTAATTCAGGCAATTAACCATCTTTTGAGAATTTTTAATGGTTTAGTTTGGCATTATCCTATTTTCAGTCATAGGTATTTGGCGTTTATTAACTCAAAGGGAATGAAAACTTGTATTAAGGCACGATGTGCCTTTCACTCCTGTTAACGTTAATATAGACGATGGAAAATTAATTTCGTAATAAAACATTATGTTAATTAAATAATAATCATCGAATACAAAATTCCTTTTGCGTTTTTGTTTACAATTCAAATGTCTATTTATATCCACCCACCCACCTACCCCCCCCCNCCCTTCCTTTCCCCCCCCACCCCCACCTAGCCAACACCACCTCGTGGGTTTTCTGCTTCCTAATAGCACACTCACGCCAAATTCCATTAGATAGAGCCCCTTGTACTCACTTTATGCAATTAAAGAGCACACGAATTGCATAATGAGATTATGTCCCCTTGAGTTAAAACCCATACTTGGTTGCAAAATAATTAGGCTTTTGAAATCCCGCCTTTTCGCTTATTTGCTTTTTTCTGAAATAACATTTCGCAAGTGGGATGTTTTTTACTGATCTCGAAATGGGTGTCGCCTACGATAAGGCATGGAAAGTATCGGCAATGCCTGTGGGCAAGCAAATGTATCGTAAGGAGTTATTAAGTAGGGTAATAAAGAAACGCTTTCCGCTATGGGGTAGACTAATCTGGGTTCATTCCAGAAATCCTATAATTTGACCATATTTTGTGGTCGATGGTGTGCAATAGATTTACCTCCACGTGGTGCACCCTGGGCAACGTATACTCATACAGCAAAAAAGTCTATTAACCGGCAGTTGACTTCTGACTTCAAACCACCATGACCCCACTGTATGTCATATTCGACCACTTTCGCAATACTCATCTCACCTTTTCTCTACCTTTATGTCTGTCTGTCCCTTTTACATCTGTGAGTTACTCTTCTGTTCCACCTCTCGACCTTTTGTCACTTTCATGATCCTCCCCCTCCTCTCTGTGAAGCCCGAAGTCAGCTAAAGAGCTAATGATAGCTGTCAAACCCCCTGTCATTTGAAATAAATAAACTTTGTAGTCGATTAGAGCAAATTTGTGCTATTTTCATTTTGTGTCATCATATTCTTTCTTTTCGCTCGACATGTATTTCAGTAGTCAAATTCAGTATAAATATCAGCCTGAATTCATAAGTTTTATGATTATATTATAACATTAATAGCACTGTCATGGCAACGGATGCTAATTTGATTCAAACTCTCCCCTTTATTGTCCTTAAATTATACCTCATACTCATCGCTATCGTGGAGCCTGTGTTGGCAAAGTGTTCATTTATTCACGCATAAAATCACATTTATTTCAACACTAATCCAAATTGACTTAACACTATGCCCCATAAGGTCAATGAGATAATCCGTCTACCCTATTTGCCCCTTATATTATGCGCTCTATAATATTTTATTGCCACAACAACGCAATTAGTCAATCTTTCACCTATCCAATCATATTTATGGCTTCTAATCCTATTCACCAGCCTGGCAACATTCCCCTATGCCTACCTGCATGTCCGCTGTGTGTCTAAAGTGCCATTAACACATTCCTTTTTATCCCCCCCCNCCCCCCCCCCCCCCCCCCCCCCACTCTCACCATAATACATACCTTCTGCCGGTGCAATAAATTTATTCTTGTGGGTTATCCTATTCAATACATTCTTGTGGGATATATTTTTGTATGGACTAGAGTTCAATTTATTGTGGTACTGTGCTAATTCCAAGATTTGAAAACATGAATCAACATACGCCAGCTTCATAGTATAACAAAAGGGTAAATATATGCTCATTACTACTCAAAGTGCTCATAAATTACTTGCCAAATCACACTCCTATCATTGGTGAGCCTCTCCTCCTTGAAGTTCGGCTCGAGATATGTGTAGGATAAACGTTTCTTCCAACATGCTTGACAATTGTAGTTGCCCATGGAATGTCCTGCTAACATGATAGCATTTTCATTGTTGCATATTCAGTGATTGGAATGGTAAGCCCAAACAGTTGAAAATAGTCGAGTTTCTTGATCGAAAAAAACCAGAAAGCAATCTCTCTGATTTGAAGCAGAGAAAATGAATTTATTAGGCGTGAAATGTAAATGGAATTTTGGGGTACACCAATAAAATTCCGATATAATCTAGTAGACACCTCGAAATGCGCTTACTTTCAGAAGGCTAAAACGCTTACCTTCAAACGGGTTTGAAACTACTAAAATAAGCAGCAACTTAAAAGTTCCTAAAGTTAATTAACCATTTCAGTCTAAATTAATTTAAACTAACTTAAGTTAAAATTAATGTAGCCTAAGCCCCTCTTCTCTTCATCCACCCTTCCCCATCCCATTCTTTACCATTCATTGAATTTCGACAGGGATCTGTCATTTCCCTCTCCGATTATATTTATTTTTTTTAAAGTAAACAGAAATGAAAGTTTGTTCTTTTTTTCTCTCAATTTCCTTATCGTTATAAACAATTTTTCTTTGCATATTCAATTGTTCCTGGCCATATTTTTCGTACTAATATTTTCATTTTTACGTTATAACCCAGTATTGTATCTTTCAGTTCGCTAAATCGGTGGAATCGATTATTTGGAGAATTCAATTTTTTGTGAAACGAAGATTCTGGTTAAGATAGAAACATTTTCATCACGTCCATTTCGTGTTTTTTTACTAAAACGGTGAATTCACTTCTAGGCACCTGCTTCAATAAAATATTCAACACCAAAAGATTAATTTTCTTGCAATTGCAAGTGTAAACTTAGAATAGAACTCCAAACGTCGAAGCCATCACGC